ACTTTGCTTTAGGAAAAGCAGCCTCCTAACTGCCTTGAATTTGTCACCTTGAGGCCTGTGCACTTGCTGTCTCTCTGATAAACATGAGCCTTGCTCTCTTGCTTCCTTCAGCTGTGTGCTCAATGGGAGCTCATCAGAGACGCCTGCCCTGACCACTCAGTCCTCCTCCCACTCATCACACCTTCCTGTGTTTTATTTTTCTCCATAGCCCCATCAGTCTCTGTAGATCATATATTTACTAACTTAGTTTTTTATTGTCTGTCTTTCTGCACTAGGAGAAAGAGAGGAATGAAGACCTTCTGTTTTGTTCACTGTTCTGTCCTCAACACTTGGAGCAATGCAGACCACACGGAGAGCAAAAGGCAACCAATATTTGTGGAATGAATGAATGGATGAGTGAGTAATCGCTAGTCTTTCCTATATCAATGGTGTGATAAACAAACACCTAAAATACCTTATTTATACAGACAAAAATCACCTCAAAATCAATAAGTGAATAACATATGAATTTTAGTTTTATTCTGTCATTAGAAGCCAATGATTGTTGAATATATTTAGAAAAACCAAGCATGTATTATCAGCACCTTCCTATGTAAAAGTTTTAAAATATTGTTAGACTATCCACCAGAGGGCGCTTGTGCTTTTCTTTTTAACAAAATTACACCAAGTTGCCAAAATGACCTCAGGCGAACAGGAAATGGACATAGAAGAAATGTCCATCCTATCCAGAGTTAATTTATTTATTTTTATTTATTATTTTGTTTTATTTATTTTTTATTTTTTGGTACCAGGGATTGAACTTGGGACCTTGAGATTGCGAATCAGGTGATGGAACCACTGAGCTAAATTCCCAGCCCTCCAGAGTTAATTTAATGTTTGTTGTTCTTCCAACCTTTTTACCATACTTACTGTGAGTTTTCCCCATACTTACTGTGAGTTTTCCCCACAGGCTCATCTATTTCTTTTAGACAATGTGAATGCTTGAAACAACCTGTGGATAAAGGTATTAACCCCAGACTTAACAGGCTGTTTCCTCCCTCACTTTGATGTTTTTTGTTTTTGTTTTTTTCTCTAAAACCCACAACTGAGTTCCTAAGGTCAAAATGTTTCTCAAAACCACTGAATTTTTTTATTTTGAGACAGGGTCTTGCTATATACTTAAGGCTAGTCTTGAACCTACTATGTAGCCCAGGCTGGCCTTAAGCTCATGGTGATCCTCCTACCTCAGCCTCCCAGGTGGTGGAAGTATAGGCGTGCACTACTATTCCTGGCTTTTTTTTTTTTGGTACCACTGAATAATTTTAATTTTATATGTTCATTTTTGAAACTTCAAAGGGTAAAAATATTTTTTGGTGTTTTCTCTTTTGTATTTAATTTTTTAAACAACAGCCCTATTGAGGTGTAAATGAGAAACAAACTGCACATATTTAATGTATGCAATTTGATGAGTTTGAATGTATACATAGATCATGGAACCATCGCCACAATCAAGGTAATAGACATATCCATCACCTCCAAAATTGTCCTGTATTCCTTTGTTGTGTATAAGAACACTTAGCACATCTACTGTTTCAACAAATTTTAAGAACCTAATACATTATCATTGACTATAAGTTCTATGCTATACAGCAGATCTCTGGGTGATCACATTGTATTTGGAAGATCTTTAATGATTCTGTGACTGGGGAGGGAATCCTATCTCCTATTATAAATAGACTACATGTTATACCAGTACTTAACCACATATGGGTATCATCTTCCTTCCCTTCTGCCTTCCAACCTAACACAAGTTCCTCCCTGTCTGGTCTAACCAAGAACCACATAGGGAAAGAGATTCCAGAAAATGTTCTCAGTATAATCAAGTGAACACAGCAAGCCCAGCACAGCAGGGAATGGCATACACAAAGGTCTGAGGAGGAGATGAACTCAGTGTGCTGAGAGACAGACAGAAGGTGAGGCTGAGGCTCAATGAGTGAGAGGATAGTTGTGGGGGACCCTGATGGTGCCACCTGGGGCCTGTGTCTGTTTTGTCTTAACTCTGAATTGCAGGATTAGTGGTATTCGGAATTATTATTTATAAGGGTCATTCTGGCTCTCACAGGTGGAGAAAAAAAAAAAAAAAAAAAGGAGGCAGCAGGGAAATTAGGTGGCTGGTGAGATAGTCCAAAAAAGAGAGTAGTCTAGGCCTGAGCTGTGATTATGAAGACATAGACAACAAGGAACTGGTCAGGAAGGTTTGGGGCCTCATTTCTCTGATTGTGAGAAGTGGGGCACCCTCCATCCAGAGGAAGGTGCAGCACAGGTGAGTGGTCAGGGGAGGTCTGGTACTTTCTAAGCACTGATCTCTCTGCTGAGCCTGTCTTCTCCCTGGTCCTGAATAAGAAGACTGAGGCACAGTGAGGTTGCAGTATACTTGAATCAAAGCGACACAGCTGAACAGCAGTGGGCTTCTGATCTTAGGCCAGGCAGCTCAGAAACTAGAATCTTAGCTCTTTTTACAGCATCCTGCTGCCTCTCAGGTGAAGGTTCTTGTGAAAATTCATGTCCATTAGCTGATATCTGCCGAACATCACACTTGTCTGGCCTCTCACAAGTAGCTCAAGTGTACATGCTGACATTCTCTGTCCAATTCCAATTCTAAATATTTTTAATAAAATGCAATTCTAAATTTGTCACATTTTCCATAAAAGTGTGTATGCCCCCCAACAAGCCCTTTAAAGGGCTTTCCTGTTTCATGAGAGAAAAGCTAAAAAGCCAATGAATAAAGGATATGTGAGAATTACATACAATTAAGCATACAATAGAGGAAGGATATGTTCAAGACATCCAAAAAAATACCCAGGATTTGTTTTCTGATAAATCTCTATTTATTGATACCACTATCTTTTAACAAAAAAGAAGTCTCAAAGTACAAAGTATATATGCGAATTATTTATTATTTGCTTAGAGTATATATGTGTCTGTAAATGATAAATGATCATAATGTGGGCATAAATATATTTATCATAGATAGTTCGTGAAAATATGTAGCCTTTGGTTATTATTTATACATTGTTCACTTTTCCTGTGAGATGCGAGATAACTGGGTCACAGACTCTCCAATTATGGAACTTTTTTTAGATTTTTTTTTTTCAGAGAATTACATGGAAGGAACTGAAGAATTCCATGTCTAAAGATGCTTGGGTAGGGTCACCAGTATGCAGCACTTGGAATCATCTGCAGTATGAGGAAGGACAGTATCTGGGAAAGTAGGTATAGGTTTTAATTCTAGCCAAAGAACTCCTCTCTTCCTCAATTCACTGGACCTCCTCTCTAAGGAAGTTTCCAAGCCCATATGGGTTAACTCACACCAAACATCCCTCCACAGAGTTTGCTATCCCCCCAGGTCTTGGAACTGATCATTTCTTTTCTTCATTCAGGTTGCTGTGGTAACTGATAATCACAATTCACATTTTCCTAAAATGAGTTTTTAAAAAGATCTTGGCTACTATGTTCTCTCACTGTAGCCCACTCTCTCCTGTAGCACATACTTCTTTTCCTCCTGTTACCTGCCCCAAATTCTCTCTGCAGAGCATTTTTCTTTTCCTATCTTTAATAAATGTAAAATCTTGCTACTATTTTTTTTTAAAAAAAGGATCGTGGTGGCTATCTTATTAGTCATAAAAAGTTGGAGTTAGGAATGGTATTGAAGGAATTTTTGTATTAAATGGAGAAAGGCTGGACACTAGCTAATCTCGACACCCTTTTCTTTGTAAGATTATATGATTCCAGATGTCTTGAATATTTTATAAAAAACAGTCCAGAATAGCCACAAGTGTTCTAAAAATGTGCTTCTTATTATTAGAGAAGCCAAGTTAACTTCCTGTCATAACAACACAAGGATGTTGCATCATCCCTGATTCCTGTAGTGACTGTGGCCAGAAAATGAGTAGAAGAGGTTATTAGGGGTAACATAGAGTAGCCAGGAAGTAACCAGTGCATGCTCTGGGAAGACACTCTGATTGCCTTCCTAACCATTACAACTACAGCTGAGTTCCAGTTTTTTAGACTTGATGGCAGATTCAGGGAAATAAACTATGGCTCCTACCTTCAAGGGAACTGAGAGTCTGGTGAGAAAGAGAAACATACACTAACTAGATAACAAATGGTCACTCATGTCATACTAAACAGAAGGGAAATATGAATTTTAAGATGATCTGAGCATATACAAGGTTTAAAAAATTTTTTTTTAGTTATTTGCAATGCCAGGGATCAAACTCAGGGCACTGTGCATGTTAGGCAAGTGCTCCAACCCCAAGCCACACTCCCAGCATTCTGGAAAAGTTTATTTAAGAATCACAACTTGAGCTTAGCCTTGAAGACTAGACCACTGGAACTAAGTGGAGAGAAGGCATTCTTGTGGGTGGATAGGGAAAAGGTGTGAAGCCAGGTGAATGAGTCTCAGGAATGAGAGTGCATGACTCGTGTGGCAGAAGGGAGGCAAGCATGGAACTGTGGCAGGATGGGGAAGAACTTGCTTGACTGAAGCACAAGGGAACAATGAGAAACAGTGTGGCCAGTGAGGGCAGACAAGGTGGAGCCACATCACCTCAAAATCCTGAGAGAAGATTTCCAAGGCCAAACACTGGTGATGTCCAAGGGCAGATCCCCAGAAACAACCAGCGTGGATCCCTGGGACACCCTGTGTGTGAGGTCTGAAGGCTGACTCAAGTGTAGACACTGACAGCCACCACAGTTTGGTGAGATCCAGCTCAGTTCCAAGCTGCTTGGCTTACTAGTATGCAGACAGGCAGGGGCTCGATGACATGGACCTCAGAATCCTCTCTGGAGGCTGCAGGCTGAGGCCCTGGAAGTCCAGGCAGCTGTTGTGTGTGGGATGTTTGCGTGAATATTTGTCCAGATGTTGGTCTTACTAAGCTTGTGATGAAATTCAGTTGGTCAGTGGTAGAAGAACAGAAACAGCTATTGCCTCCACAATTCTTAATATTTGAATTTTAAAATCAACTTTTCAGCTTTAATTACAATTTCATAACAGTGCTTTACATTTTCTAGTCAAATTGACAAGCTCATGTTATTGGAGGCCATTCCTTCTTAGAATTATTTTGGTACTAAAAACAAATTTTAAATTAAATTAAATTTAAATTTAAATTAAAAACAAATTTTGTTGGCAAACTGGACTCCTATGCAGTCTTCTTTTGATGAGGAGCTTGGGATCTTTTAACTTTTACAGTTTTCTTGCTGTTTTGATTTTTTTTCCCTTTCTTTTGCTTTTTCTTTTGGCTGACCTGTAAGAAAAAGGGGGGAAAGGGCATTGTTTCTGAGTCATACAATGTTTTCCTCTTTACATTATATTTGAACTCCCTGATTGTGATTTTTCTTTATTCTCAAAAGTAGCTTAAAGTTGCTTTTCTCTCATAGGGGCGCCTTTTGATTTTCTATTTTGCTCATACTGAGGAGGAACCAACCATCTTTGAAATGCTTTTCTTTTGTCTATTCTGGTTTTTTGGTGTTTTTTTTGGTACCGGGGATCGAACTCAGGTCCTTGCGCTATTCTGGTTTTTTACTGTTCTCACGCCAACCCTGCTTACCACCCATCTGCCCTGACTGACTGTAACCCTCTGAGGTTCGTGCTATAATTACCTACTTTTCACTTGTGAAGAGGCAGTCCATCCAGCTCCTGAACCCAAGCTCCCCACCACATAGTGTATGGTCCTCCTCAAACCCCAGATCCTTAGCATCTCATGCAGGATCTTCCTACTTGGTCTTGGTCTGCTTTCCCACTTCATTCCCTTCCTTTTTCCACTTAAACTCCTACCATATTATTTGAGGCTCTCTGAACACGGTAAGCTCTCTCATAATTCTCCTCTTTTGTTCCTGCTTCCTCTCATCCTGGTGATTTACATATATCCTCCTGGTGATTTACACATCTCTTAAGATCCAAATCAAATATGAGAAGTCTTCCTTAACTCTTTTTACCTGCTGCTCTCCCCTAACAAGGTTAATTACTCCTTCTTATATCATCTTCAAGAGTCATATATATGCCTTTATTTTATATTTCTCCCATTGTATCACAAGGGCTATATATTGTTAAAGAATATCTGCTACAGAAGGAACAGTTTACATCTTATTACTTTTGTATCTTCAGTGTTTAACATTCTGTTAAATACAATGTAAAAGGATGAAAATATATCTTTAATGGAGCTACATATATTCTTTGTCTCCCAAAGTTTATTTCTAGCAGGAAGAAAATTTTGTTCCCCCTTTCACCAACCTGCTTCTCCCACTGTTTCATCAGTTCCTTCACTTTTGCTGAATCTGGGTTTAGACATATTTGATTCCCATTCCTCTTTGTGGCACTGCCAAAGAAACAGCAATGAGATTTCTTTTTTCCATTACTAATTTAATACAGTTTTGTAGAAATAATGAAAATAAGCATGAATTTGATGAATTTTCTAATCAAACTACTTAAAATATAATAAAATGTTTTCCTAAGACAAGGTTAATGGGTTGAATAATTTCACAATTTTTTCACTAATTTCTCGGTACAGTCTGAAATAAGAGTGTGCAGTCTGAAGATAATAAGGTATCAAAGATACCTAATATTAAAATATCCTTTACTCAAGCAATTCTAATCCCTAAAAAGGTGTTCAGTGGGAAAGAATTAAAGACGAGAGTGCCACAGTAATGGTTTGACAATTGCAAAAATTTGGAAATAACCTACATTTCTAACAACAGACATTGATCATATAAATTATGGCACAGTCATTGGCCATTAAATTTGACCACTAAAATCAGATTATTAGGGCTGGAGGTATAGTTCAGTGATAGAGATTGTTCACATGTCTGTGTTCAATCCCCACCATACAGACACAAGACCACATTAGAAAAAAATGACATTATTAGAGATTTAATGACATGACAAAATGTTCATAATTATAGTGTTAAGAAAAAAAAGCAGATTACAAGACTGTAGGGGAGTCTCCCTTATTGATGGGTGATGCATTTCAAGACATTCTGCAGATGCCTGAAACCTTGGGTGGTACCAAACCCTATATAGGCTGTTTTGTATTTACGTGCTTACCCATGATAAAGTTTGATTATAATTTAGGCACAGTAAGTAATTAACAATAAATACTAAAACAAAACAATTATAGCAATATACTATAATAAAATTATTTAAAATACATAAATTTTTTATTTCTGGAATTTTCCATTAATGTTTTTAGACTATGTTTGACTGTATGTAACTGAAACCTAGGAAAGTAAATCAGCAGATAAATAGGGACTACTGTATGTAGGGTATGGTTTTATGTGTGCATGTATAAAATATAAAAATACATACATACAAAGCAAATGAGGGAACTTTGAAAGACCATATACCAAAGGATTAATTGTATTTATCACTGGATGATAGAGTTATAAGTGATTTTTATTTTCTTCTGTTCAGCTACCTGCATTAAACATTTTCTAGGAGTCTATTTTCAAGACTGCTTGAATCTGTCTTTTCCTGAATTGCAATCTTAATTAGCTTCAAATAAATGTAATTTTCTTTGTTCTTGAAAGACAAACATTTTCTACAATGAAAATAATATTATTTAAGTAGTACATTATCTTTGGTTCCTAATCTCTACCAGAAATGTAATTTTTAGGAGAAGAAAATAAATAAAAGGAGCAGACCAGGTTTGTGGAGGGGCTAATCATGTGGAATTTAAGTGTCTGCATGGGCAAGTACCTAGAGGGTAGTATTCACAGGAAATTTAATGTCCCTCCCAATATGTCACATGCCACATAGGTTTGAGTCATTACTTACATGATTTCTGTTTTCTCACAGGAAGGGGTTGGGGCAAATTTTTTAAGGTCTTTTAAGGATTTGAGGGTGATTGTCTCAGTGCTGGTGTTGATGCAGGAGCATCTTCTGCTCTTCATTATCAGGGTGCCTGTGAGAAAGAGAAAGAGTAGAATACATGCATTCAGGTCACTGTTTCAATTGTAGTGATCCATCAAAATGATACATTTGAGGGCTGGGGATTTAGCTCAGTGGCACCGCGCCTGCCTTACAAGTACAAGGTCCTGAGTTCAATCCCTGGTACCCCCCCCCCAAAAGATACATTTGACTTAATCATGGTTTTTCCTATCATTTACTAAGTGTTTGTAAATCATCACCACAAACTTTTAAAGTGGGCATTATATCCATTTTGTAGATAAGAAAGCTAAGGTTTAGAGATGTTAAGTAAAGAAGATACACAGCTTTACGGGTCAGGAATAGGGCTTCAGCTCAGTTTTTTCTGAGTCCAAAGATGTTCTCAGCTACCCTCCCCCCCCATTCTCTTTTGGAGGAAAAGGACTTTTACAATACTTAACAAATTCCCAGTACACATTAGACACACTGGTACATAATTTATGTGTGCTATGTGGACAAGTTTCTTAAGCAACTCCCAGATACATTTTTACTTGACCTTAGTGGAATGGAATTCCTGTAGGTTTGGATAGAAAGTTCGACTTACAACAAATTACCACTTCCATCCATCTCTCCTCCCCACTGCCCAAAATTTTCAATAGTGCTTTAAACTATTGAAAATTCTTTAGAATATGTTACCTACATAGTTTAATTTTTACTTTCATTCAGTATGTATTTACTCAGTGCTTACTATGCCACTGTTTTGTTTTGTTTTGTTTTTTTGGTACTGAGGACTGAACCCAGAGCCTCACATTGAGTTGTATTCCCAGCCCTTTTAAAAAAAATTTTTTTATTTTGAGTTGCCTAGGCTGGCCTCAAACTTGTGATTCTACTGTCTCAGTTTCCCTAAGGTGCTAAGATTACAAGCATGTCCCACCATACCAGGAATATGAAACACATGAACTAAAAATTTCTACTTTACAGATGAGGAAGCTGAGTTCTAGAAAAGTTATTTGCCCAAGGTAACATAAGTAGTCAGTAAATAGATTAGGGATAACCTCTCTGATTCCTGGATTCTCATTCAGTTAACCATAGACATATGTATCAAGAAACAACATCAATGACAAAAATAATTTAGGAGATAGTTTTTCATTATCAGCTGCCAGTGATGCTGGTTTCACATCCTTTACTATAAAACCATCCATTTGTGTGAAATGAAAATAAAACATGCAGAAATTCTTTTGACCTGGGAGAGGGTTTTCCATTATAAATGCTCAAACATTTACTGAACACTTACTAGGAACTCACACACCTAGACTGAGAAGACTTTTGTTTGGCAGCCCCAAATTATGACCTTTGGATAATCAACCACCAATGTGCTCCTATGAGTAACTTTCCTTTCTAATGTATACAGAACATTCAATGTTATCTGGCAAACCAAGAGATTTTCATAGTGATTCATACATCTGACTTCACTAACAGTATAATTCAAAACCCCTTACCTTGAACTTCAAACAGAACCAGGAAGGTGATGCAGAAGAGGAAAGGAAAACCATGTCTCTTCATGGTGGTGGAAGGAATTTCTACAAAGTCACTCCTACGCTGAATTTCAAGCCTGAGTAAATCTTTAGAGAAAATGCTCTTAGGGGTCATATTTATTTAGGAAATCCATTTCCCTCCCAAACCCCGATTGGCTGCTATCCTTAGCTGATCTAGCTAAACTAACCACAAACTTGATTTTCCTGGGGGAAACCCTATTCTCAGATCCAAGGGAGTTTCTGCATGTTCTATTTCCATTTCATATAAATGGGTGCTTTATAGTAAGGGATGTGAAACCAACAGCTCTGGCAGCCTTTACAAACACATAGCTGCTCACCTGGGTGAAAGACATGATGAAAATACTATTATGCAACAAGGGCTGGAAATGTGGTTTCCAGGTGGATAATACTGAAGTCCAGGTAAGTAACTCCTTTATTATTTATAGCATACCTTTGTGAATAATAAATGGCTACATTTATCTTGTATTAACCACCCTTCGACTTAAAGCACTTTAGTTTCTTTGGGGACCAAGTGTTGGGGACCAAGTATTTTCTACTAGTGGTAAGTTCCTTTTTGTCATTGGTGCTACAGTTTATTTTTTAAATTCTTAGATCAAGTAGCATAAAGTCCAGTTGTGTGCAAAAGATTCAAATTAACAGAGGGTGAGATAGAAGCTTATTTCCCTCTGACAGAGGTGGATGGACATTATGTTTTGGATCTAAAAAGGCCCCCAGAAAGCTCATGTGCTCAGACACGGGGATTTGAAAGGTGACTGGATCATGAAAAGGCTCTCAATTCAACAGTGAGCTAATCTATTGATGGTTTCCTAATCTGATTACATTCTTGGGAGGTGATGGAAACCTAGGAGGGGCCTGGTTTAAGGGGGGCGAGGGAGAGCATGCCTTTGGGGACTATACTTTGTCCCTAGCCCCTCCTCCCTTCTCAGCTGCCATGAGGTGAGTGGCTTTCCTCTGCCATGCCCTTCTGCCATGATGTTTCTGGCTCACCACAGGACCAAAAGCAATGGAGCCTACTCACTATGGACCAAAACCTCTGAAATTATAAGCCAAAATAAACTTTTCTTTCTTTAAATTGTTTTGCTCAGGCTTTCTGTCACAGCAATGTAAAGTTAACACAGTGGACCGGCACTTGTATGCTGACCCATCTTAGAAGTTGTACCCATCACTTTCCATTACCTGTCCTGTAACAGAACATAGTCACATGGCTATAAGTAGTGTCAGGGGAAGAAATAATATTGCTATTCTGGTTTACCAGCTAAAGACTGGAGGTTCCATGACTGCAGAAGAGTGTTGGCTGGGTGGCTAGTCTGGGCAGAGTCTAGGTCCCTCAGTGAGCCTACAACCTTCCCTGACTCTGATTTCCTCCTCAGTCCCTCTTGGTCTTCACTTTAGTGTTGTAGCAGCCACTTTTCCAAGCCTCAAAGGTGGAATGAACTTGTGTTCCTACTCCAAAATACACAAGAGGAATATGGACAAAATTGATACAGCTAAGTAACTGAAGCTGAGAAAGACAGGTTTGTTTACACGCTAATACTGGTTTTGTCATCTCTGAGGAAAAGCAGAAAAAAGAACTCAAAGTGAGGGCCTTGTTATAGAAAAGTAAAAAGTACTGGAATATCTTCAAGGAATTAAAGGTGGTTGTTTGTTTTTGTTGTTGTTGTTTTTACTATCATATAACATATAGAGTAAAAATGGCACTAGTTCCAAATTTCCAAATAGGAAACATTTTTTTTTTTCAGTATTGGGAATTAAACTCAGGGGAACTTTACCACAGAGCTATATTCCCAGCCCTTTTTATTTTATTTATTTTTATCAGTACATGTTTGCAGTACATAATGTTTACATTTCTTGTGTGGCACTTGTACATGTATATAATACATCTTAATTCCTTTTTTCATTTCCTTTCTCTTCTCTATCTCCTCCTCCCTTAAGGGAGGTCCCCTTCTCTTGATCCCCTTCCCATCTAAGAAAGATCAGTCTCCCTACTTCTATCTTTTATTTTCCTATTTATTTATAATTCAGGGTTCTCATATAAGAGAAACCATATAATATTTAAGCTTGTGTGTCTGATTTATTTCACTTAACATTATGATCTTAAGGTGCATCCATTTTCCTACAGATGACTGATGAAGAAATGCTCAGGATTGCTGGCTATTAGAAAGATGCAGATTAAAACAACAGTATGATTTCACCTTCAAGAAATCAAATACTGTAATAACAAATGTTGGTGAGGCTGTATGGAAAAAGGAGCCCTTTTACATTCTTGGTGGGAGTGAAAACTAGTACAATCACTATGGAAATCAGTATGGAGATTCCTTAAAAACTAAAGCTAGAAATTCTATTTGACCCAGCAATTTCCTTTCCTGAAAGAGTTAAAGATACATTATAGTGATATGTGCATACCTATGTTTACAGCAGCACAATTTATAATAGCTAAATCTTGGAAGCAGCTTATATGTCTATCAAGGGATGAATAGATAAGGAAAATATGGTATTTACACACGATGGAGTACTACTCTGCCATAAAGAAAGACAAACCTTTTTTATTTTCTATCTTGAGACAGATAAATTGCCCAAGTTGGCCTCAAACTTTTGATCCTCTCATCTCAGTTTCCCAAGTAGTGGAAATGACAGGCATGAGCCACCAGGTCTACCCTAATAAGCAATTTTTGAATGAACTGGAGATAATTCCTAACTTAAGTCTTCAGGAACAATGCTTAAAAATGTAAAAGCTGGGCTGGGGACTTAGCTTAGTGGTTCCGGCACCTGCCTCAAAAGCGCAAGGTCCCGAATTTGATCCCCAGTACCATAAAAAAAAGAAATGTAAAAGCTTTTATTTAGGAAAGAAAGTTGATTTTCAAACATCACAAATACATGAGTTTTGCCTGGAAAATACTTCCTTTCCTGAGATTATTTTGAATGACCTATTTGAATTGATAGAACTAACATAGTGTGATTAGGAAAATACTGTTGATACCTTATGTGGGGCCCTTTGAGCCAGTGATAATAGAAAACCAGGCTAAGAAGTATGAGAACATGGATGAAGCTTTTAATTGAGAATGAAGAGAAAATGGGGAAAGGACTTCCAGTGGAGGAAAGAGCTGAGGGAGAACAGCTCTGATGGAGAAAGTCAGACTGGCCTGTTAACAAAGCACAGGGACCAGCTTTTATGGGGCAAGGCCCTGGGTGGGCTAGGTTCTAGCTGATGATTATCTAGTTGTGGCTCTGCAGAAATCCTTATCATTTAAGGGGGAATCTCGTTCCCATGACATGATTACTCCCGCTTGGGGTACAGGTTATCCTCCATTCCTGTTAAGGAATAATTGCTCCCCCTAGGGGGGTGGATGATCTCATAATGAGGTGATTTGTATGCACAAGCTCTCTTGTTCCTGGAATCCAAGATGACTACAGGTTTAGGACAGTGACTGGAGACTTCTAGGTGCCACTCTGTGTGGTCTGGAACAAGATGTTGTAAAAGCTGCATATCTTGAGAGCACTTCAATTACTCTTATCTTGGTGTCCTCAGTCTTGAAGAGGAAATGAGATAACGTTAGGTAAATTTAGGGCTAAATCTCAGTTTTAAGACAGAAACTTCTTAAATGATTAACATGCCTATGTGCCAAGCAAGAAATCTGACTCAAAGTTTAAAGCTAGATACAAATTAAAGATATAAAAGAAGATACATAAAATGAAAGCAGAGATGATAAGTTTTATCCTACTTCTAGTTACTCATTGCGAATCTGCAGGCCCAAGTGGAGAGTCAGTGCTTTTTAGCAAAAGCAGCTTTTAAGTTCCTGTCATACTGTCACCCAATAAATAATTTGATTTTTTGAAACACAAAATATTAAGAAAATGAAGAAGAATCCTGTGGCTATCACAGTTTCACCTAAACTTCTATCATGGAGGTCAGCCATCTATAGCATGAGATTTAGTGTATTTTGCATAAAACACAAGTGTTCCGGCTTGCTTTTCCCAATGTTTCAATGTGTCATTCAGTGTCTCTGATACTACTGGTGTAGCTAGGAAGGATGAGAAATAGTGCATTTATGCTCATTTTCTAGGGCATAAAAAAGAGGCCTGACATTTTCCAAAAGTAAAAATTCAATAGCAAATAATTAAAAATATTTAAAGTAGATATTACATTTTCTCTGGCTATTCAGAATTCTTCCAGCAGCAGAAGTTAAAGCCAAGGTTAATGAGATAACAATATTTAGAAATCATACCCAGTTTCCCTCAGAGAATATTACTCATGAGAACAGAATAAGAGTGGGAGGAAAAACAGGGTAGAAGACCCAAAAGAAAAATCACCCTTCTCAAAACAGAATCTAAGAAAAAATAATTTGAACAAATAAAAATAAATGAGTTTAAAAGGACTTAGTGCTATAGTTATTTAATATTTTAAGGCTGAATAGAAATATTGTTTGAAGATAATAAAAGTATTAAAATGATCTGACCAAGAGCTAAATAATAATAGAAAAATAAGTATTGGAAATATTCTTTGGTCTAAGACTGCGATATACCAGCAGCTCAAACTCATTCTTCCCCCCGCCCCCCATGAAACCTGAGGGGTCTGACTTTAGTTTGGTTTAGTATGTTCAGGAAGTTTCAACATAATTCTTGAATATATTGGAATAAAGACTACAATAGACCTTTTATTGTTCTATACATTGACTATATATACTATGCTATAGATAGGCCTTTGTTTTCATTTTCCACTCATTATAGAGACTTCCAAAAATGAGGTTTCAATGAAGTAGCTTCTGTATTCTCCTTTCAAAAGTTATCCTAAAGGAACACCACTGGAAAAATAAACAATTAACATATAAATTATTATTTTCTTCCCTCTCCTCCACCAGTAGTGGGTCCTTTCCAATTTGCACCTTCTCCTTTCTAGATTGATTGGTTTAACTCTTGAATTTTATCTAACTCTGGAGAGTCTTCAGTTATACAGGCAACACTGCAACTTGAGGTTTACCAGAAATTTAGTAAAAATATTTCTGGAATAAAATAAGAATCACCTAAAACAGCCGGGAATGGTGGCACACACCTGTAATCCCAGCACTCGGGCAGCCAAGGCAGGAGGATCGCCATGAGTTTGAGGCCAGCCCAGATTACACAGTGAGTCTGAGGCCAGCCTGAGCTACATAGTGAGACCCTGTCTCAAAAAAAACAAAAAACAAACAAACGAACAAAAAAAATCACCTACACAATGTTCTTAAACCATTTTTTCATTACATACTCCCCTTCCTTAAGGGAAACATATTTAAATGAACGAAAATCTAAATTAAACTTCTTCCTAAGGAGAGAGATTAAAAACTAATAGTTCTTGTTGACTAGAGTTGAACTTTAGTAGGCCAGTACTCATTGTAATATCTAAGATGTTTTTAGCCTTCTAAGAACCAATGTTTGTCCTCTTGGAGCAATAACCCCCCTTTCAGAACATATGCTATAGAATAAGGTTAGAAGAGATATCAGCATTTTGTGCCACATTGCTGTGCAAGATGGTGTATGGAGGACTGGTGATCCAGGTGGCAAAAGAATTTACCAACAATCAAGGAATATAGAAAAGCAAGCTTACTAAGATCACAGTACACTGTCAAGAGGGGCAGTGGGTGAGTTTCTAAGACAGGAATTGTGCCATCACGATAAGAGGTTGGGTTATTATTATTATTTTTTTAATATAAAGGACTGAAGTTGTGGGAAAGATTGTTAGCAAATGTACTTATCTCAGAAATGCATTTTTTCAGGGCATCTTGTTCCTTGGTAATCTTCCAGGAACACCTGCATTTTATCTAAAGTTTTATATTGAAGCTGCAAAATTGCCGGGGATATAGCTCAGTGGCACTGTGCCTGCCTGGAAAGCATAAGGTCCTGAGTTCGATCCCTGGTTCTGGAAAAAAAAAAAAAAGTTGCAAAATGGCAAAGTGATTTGCTTTGGCCTCACAGGAGACTCCTTCTTACTGAGAGAAAAATTTACTTTTGGCTTATGCTGGTTTTGGTCAGTGTTAGTATATCATCTTATGACTGTTTAGTATGTGTTAGTATGTGTTGCTTTAATGGGAGAGTTTTGCTGCTGAGGATTTTAACTCTTTTGCTGCCAGTGGATATGACATCACTCGCTGACAAATCAGCAAAACATAAATCATTGACAAGGGACAAAGTGTTTACTTCCATAACTGCTCTGAGCAGAATGGAGATATTGTTAGGGGCACTTAAGTTTGTTGATCTATCGAGGGCTGTACACCTCGTATGAAGTTTGAGTGTGAAACCATTGAGTGGCTTGGTCAAAGGGTAAAGGACCAACAAATTTCTCAGAAACAGACCAGAATCCTCATCTGGCCACCATTTGGAGATGAATTTTCTGGATCCTTGAAGACACAAACTCGACAAGGCGGATGAATAGACAGGAGCCAAAAATGAGTAGCAATATAATGGCATCCAGAGGCCCCTTTTACTTAAAGTGTGGCTGGTCTTATTAGCTGTGGACATTTTAAGATCTGAATTTTTACTGGCAGATCTGTTAAGCTATACTTCCTTTGACTCAGGACTAACATGATTCTGGCCGAGTCCTTTGTGAGGATTCCTATCAGGCACTTGCAGGTGAGAACCCTTCCTTACCACCTCTTGGTTCTATCTACCTTTTGGAGGCCTGGCTCAAGTGACTCTCTTAAGACCAACTGTCATGCTTTTCCTTACATTTTCCCCTCATGTCATGCTTCCCCTCATCTTTATTAGAGTTTTTCTCAGAAGGCAGCACTGCTCAACCATTGTTTTCATTGGCCCTTTGGCTGGAATGCTGTTCTGGTTGTTAAGGTCTTATTTGGTCCCACACTGATGAGGACAGGTTTGACAATTTAAAGCTAGTGTCATGGGCCCTTTTAGCCACATTTGGGCAAAAAGGGGTTTACAAGGAGTAACTCTTAGGCCAAGTTTACTTGGTGTCCATTGTTTAATTTTACCCGTTGTGTAGGTGATAACATTTCAAGACATTGGATTAGATCTCTTTGTTATTTTCACTTTGAAGAATTTTGAGAAGCCAGTTACAAAGTTTTAAGGAAAATATAAAATAAAACTAACCAAAGCAAAATTAACTTGTTAACAGTTTTGAACCAAGATTTTTGTTATATCAGTTTTTACTGAAGATAATCAGAGCAAGAGACAATTTGTTGGTAGTACTTGTTAGAATTTTTTCCATGAATTTGACTGTAAATGCTCCAGAGAACAGTAAGAACTATGAATGACAAAAGATTTAGAAAAGCCAGGTTAGAATTTTGATGAGTTTAGTAATTGATGAGATAATCTATATATTTTATATAGCATTTTAAGATAAAAATCACGACTGACATTATATCAGAACTAGTAGGATCTCTTGTTCACATATATATTAGGTAACTAATATGCAATCCTTTTGATTATCAGCATGGCACTGTTTGGAATGGATAGTGTTTAGGCATGTGTAATAGTACAATTAGAAATCCATAAACATAGACTTGAAAAAGTATCATTATAAATAATTTTGGTTTGGGAGAGGCACCAATATGGCAAAGTGTCCTTTCCAGGCTCTGTACTTTAGAAGAAGGCTTGCATATTTGGCAAACACAAACGTACCCAACTGGGCCAGGGATTTAGCTCAGTGATTCTGCTGCCTGCCTCGCAAGCATAAGGACCCAAGTTCAATCCCTGGTACCAAAAAACAAACAAACAAATGTACTCAACATACAGAAAAGTCAGCAAGAACGAGCACTATAGCTTTATAGAAATTTTTATGTATTACACAAGCCTTTTATAAATCAATTGAGCTTTTTGCTTTTAAGGTGAAATTTAGAATTCCTTATCAGGTCTTATACAGGTCAACAGTATTGACAAAAATCAAAGAATAGCTTTGGATCTCTTACAAACTCAGGAACCAGTTTTAATAATCACAATGGGAGCCAGGTGTGGTGGCACACGCCTGTAATCCCAGTACTTTGGAGGCTGAGGCAGGAGGATCACTCAGAGTTTAAGACCAGCCTGGATTACATAGTGAGGCCCTGTCTCAAAAAAACAAAAAAATGAACAAACAAAAACCCCAAACACACAAAAAACATATCACAATAAGTGTATCTCACTTATATAATAAAATGTTTTAGGGCCAGGGTTTAGCTCTGTGGTTCCAGCACCTGCTTTGCAAGCACAAGGTCCTGAGTTCCATGCCCGGTACCCCTCCCCCCCAAATTTTAAAGCCAATAGACATAGATTTTAAATGATATAACTGTATAGAATACAAAGAACAAATATCAAAATTTTGATCATTTATATGTTTAAGACTATATATAATGTATTTTATATAAAAGAGTCCTCACTGGCCACTCTGTATTAAACCCATGTATTCTTAATTTTGCAAACTTTGTGCATCTATACAGTATACTCTAGAAGGGGCTTAGTTATATTTCTTTCTATATTAGGCCAAAGGCATGGTTTTTAGTGTAAGTAAAAGAGGGTAAATTTAAGTCCAAATGTATAGAGCAACTGTTAAGCTGTCTCTATGAGCGGTGAGTATTATTCTAACTTAACATTTGCTTTTATTTTATCAAGAGACATGACAAAGTGTTTTTGGGATTGGGGATACAGGGGACTGAACCTAGGACTTTCTGCATGATAGGCAAGTGCTATACCACTGAGCTATATTCCCATCCCTTTTTATTTTCTGAGACACAGTCTAAGTTGCCCAGGCTGGCCTTGAATTTGGGATCTTCTTGCCTCAGCCTCACAAGGAGCTGAAATTGCACATGCATGCCACTTAACCTGACATGGTGCACATTTGTTCAGTTGGTTTTAATATGAATTATTAATGCCTAAATAGAATGTTATGGAAATCTTTGGAAAGAAAACTGTGGTGACATTTTTACCTGGAATGCTCTGATTAGAATCACCCCACTGGAGAAGGTAGGCCCATCAAGGTCCATATGCGAACACAGCACTAGTTCTGGAGGAAGGCTTTAGAAAGCTGGCACCAGAACTGCGCATTAAAATCGCGCTCACCAGTGAATCAGGGCTCATGTCAGATTCATTGCTCCGGCTCCTCCAGGGCCTAGGAGCGAAAGACAGCCGCTTCTGGGGCAGCGTGCTCACTTCGAGTGCGTGCATAATTGCGTGCGCAGCCAACAAGTTTTCCAGAACCTTCTCCCAAAGCTCGTCCTTTCTGCAGTGTCCCGGCTGAGAGTGCTGCTGCCCACGCTGACCCTGACGGTTGAAAGACTCCTCGCGGGAGGGAGAGGTAGCTTTTGGGCTCAGGGGCTCCTTCTCTGTGTCCCCACAACAGCCATACAGGTTCCTGACCCAAGAGGGGTGGGGGTGGGGTGAGAGAGGGGCACGAGGCCACAGGGTACAGGGCCGCGGGGCACAGAGGGGGGGTGTCCGGGCCAGGGCATGGTGAGGACGAGAAGGCAGGCACCCGGTCAGTGGGGAGGGGCGGCTACAGCGAGCTTCACCTCTTAGTGCGTGGCGTGGCCTGGCCTGGCCTGGGAACTGGAGGCCTGTAGAGTCGGAGCGGTTCCTGCGACAAGGACAGGCAGCTTCTGCTTGGGCCTGAGGAAGGAGAAAATCCCGTTGAGGCTGCATTTATGGATACTCAGGGGTTTTAGGAGAAACAGAAACCTGGCCGTTTATGACTGTACTGGGAAAGCAGCCAAGGATTGTCAGGACTGTTGAAATAACAGTCACTTATTACTTCTCCTTTGGACAAGAGTTTTAACCTCTTTGGCCTTGAAAAATTCCAGTTCTGCGTGTAGAGGAACTGAATAGTGATGTAACTATACTCCAGTTGCCAGTTCTCAGTTTTAACATGTGTTGTCCGGCCTCCCCCTAACATCTTTTTGGTTATGGAATCAGTGTGATCTGTTTAAATAGGTACAGTGTGACTGATTCTGTCACAGTGAAAATAAGAGGCTTCCTTTAACTTGTGAGAGGGGAAGTTTCTCTCATATTGAAACCTCTAGGCCTGTTTTAATTTCTCGTACTGTGGACTTCCCCTCCTTTTGGTAGCTATTGCTGCTATTAAAGGATGCTTACTTGAAAAAGGTTTATTTCTTGAAAGTCAATTTAGACCCCCCCCCCCAATTTGAAGATCCATTCTTTCCATCCAAAATGTTATAATATGGTAAGCTAGCTGCAAGCAAAACGTAGTTTTGTGGGATTTTGTATCCTCTGTGCATTTCAGGTCATTAAGAACAAATTCTTCCTTGTGGCCGGGGATTTGGCTCAGTGGTTTTGCCGCCTGCTGCGCAAGCAGAAGGATCTGAGTTCGATATCCGGCACCAAAAAAAAAAGAACAAATTCTTCCTTACTCTTACTGTCTGGCTTTTTGGTTTATATTTCTAATGTAAAGTTTGAGCACTGGGTTATATTTGTGACCAAATAATGGTGAGCAAGAATGTCAAGATATCATTTCAAGGACAGCTTAGCTAAAAGTTGTCAGTAGCACATTTTTTTTTTTTTTTACGGTGCCGGGGATTGAACTCAGGACCTTGCGCTTGGGAGGCAAGCACAATGACACTGAGCTAAATACATGGCACATCATTTTTCTTCTTTTTTTTTGGTACTGGGGATTGAACTCGGGACCTTTTGCTTGCGAGGCAGGTGTCAGAACCACTGAGCTAAATCCCTGGCTCTTCTATGATTTTTGACAAGTCAGTTTACAGTCTGATGATGTGTGATTATAGTTGTTAAGAAGCTGCTGTCTAACCTGAAGAAAAATGATTTTGAACAGGGAGAAGAAAGTTTTATTTTAAAAATAGTCATTTTTAAGTGATTTACTGTAAAATTGTTTAACTCTGCAAGAAAGGAATTCAGATTCTTGAAACGTATTGACTGTTTGCCATTCATTTTAATCCATTCATCAACCTTTTCTTACTATGGTTCTAGACATTGAAGACACAAATATGAACAATAATTTATTCCCTCAAAGAGCTCACAGTTTAGTGGGGGAAAACAGCATATAAATTAATTACTGTAGTAGAAAATACTATTTTAAAGGATTGTACAAAGTGGAAGTGCAGAGAAGTCTACAACGTTGGCCAGTGGGTTCTAATACAGCTGTTTGAATTAGATCTGAAAGGGAGAAATAGTTGAAGTTTGAAATGTATTCTGAGCAGGAGGCATGAGAATGTATGTTGAATTTCAGAAACTGTAAGTACTTTGGCAAAGGTGAAGGGTGATAGTGATAAAAAGTTTGATCCTGTATTTTGAATGCGGATTAATGCTACACATAGTAAAGATCCAATTAGTGTAGAGAATAGAAAGTGTAGTCCTGCATTTAGTTGAATGATAATGAAGGAGTGGTGGGAAATGAGGCTAGACTCATTTGAGGAGGATGAAGGATCTTGTAAATTTCTAGATTAGGAGACATCCAGGGATTTTTAACCAAGGGACTGAAACGCAGAGATTTATGTCTATGTGCACACATATGGCTGTATGTACATCTAATGTTGTCATTGAACAATACCTATTAAATTATATTTTATATAAACATTTCCTGGTGTCTATTTAGTTTATATATTTTTTAAATGGCTCTTCATACTTCAAGTCTGTTTATTCTCGGTAATGTGCATTTGAGTTTGTAGTATTTCAGCCATACAACAGTGCTTTTATTTATTAAGATTGTACTTTCTGGGCTGGGAATATAGCTCAGTGGCCCCGCGCCTGCCTGGCAAGCACAAGTTCCTGAGTTCGATCCCTGGTACTGCGGGTGGGTGGGGGGGGCAGCATTCCTTTCTTCATGCCAGGTGAAATGGTGCATGCTACAACTAATTTAGGAGGTCAAGAAGAAAAGGAACATGAGAAGGCAAAAAGGAGAAATTCTGTCACTGCACAGTATTTCTTTGTTCCAGAATGTGATAATTATTTTTCCATTTTGCTACGTGAATTCTCTTGATATTAATGAAAATGTCTCATAATTGTAATGTTCTAGCTGGCTGGCTGTCCTGCCTGCCTGCCTCCCTGCCTGCCTTCCTGCCTTCCTTCTTTGTTTTTATACTGGGAGATTGATCCCAAGGCCTTCATCCTGAGCTACATCCCAGCCCTTTTTATTTTTATTTTTTAATTTTGAGACAGGGTCTCCCTAAGTTGTCCCGGCTGAGCTTGAACTGTGATCCTCCTGCTTCAGCCTTCCAGAGTACTGGGATTACAGGCATTCACCACCACACCTGGCTGCTTTGCCTTTTTAATATAGAGCATATGTTAAAAAATAAAATATGTAGGTACAGGTTAATGAATACACTCTCATCTACCCAATATCATACTGAATTTTAATGTTAGTTATTCTTTTGGGTTTCTTCTTTTGTTTTCTCCATATCCTAAATAAAATGTTCAATTTTCCTGGCTTAAAACTTTACAGAAATGGAATTATGCTGCATGACTTTCCTATGAAATGCTTCTTTGTGCAAAATTTTGATATTCATGTTGATATGTATAGTTATAGCTCACTTATTTTCACTGTTGTGTGATATTTCGTTGAATAAATATACCCTCATTATTCTCTTATGGACACTTGCATTGTTTTAGTTTTTTGTTAACTATAAACAGTGCTGGAAAAGAAAGCTGCCAAAGTGTCCTTATACATGTCCTGTGTCACAGATAAAGGAATTTATCTATGGTATATACATAGCAGTAGAATTACTGGGGTATAGGAAATGTATATGTGTGCAACTTTATAAGATAATGTCAAACTGTTTTTGAAAGTAGTTATAACTATTTTTCTTTCACTAGCAGTAGAAGTACATCCTCTTTGCTTTGCTTTCTTGCTGACAGTGTATTACCCAGGTTAAAATTTCTTATCAATGCGTTAGTGTTAAATGGTATCCTATAGTGATATGAATATGTATTTCCTTTATTTCAAATGAGACTGTTTGTCTTTTCATGTTTAGAATTTGTGTTTTTTCTCCTGTGAATTTTTTACACATTTCCATTTCACATTTTTCAACTAGTTATCTTGTCTTTTTTTTTTTTTTATCCATGGGACTTCTATATGTATTCTAGATGCTAGCAATTTATCAACTAAATGTACTACAAATACCTCCTTAATAACTAATTGGATGTGGGAGGTGAGAATAGAAATAATGTAGAATTACTCATAGGTTTTTGGTTTGGGGAATTGAGTGTATGCTGGTGCAGTTAAACTAGGACATAGACTAGGGAGTAGGAACAGGTCTAGTAGAGAAGGGAATTACTTTAAGATATTTTGGAATTTGAAATTCCTGTAGAACAGTGGTGGTGAACCTATGGCATGCATGCTGCAATGGGCTATTTGTTATCATTGAAAGCTTTAAAAGATTCAGCATCACTGCAGTAGAATATTCAGGTGCAGATGGGTCACAAAAACTTGCTTATTAAAAAAACACCTTGCAGGGCCGGGGATTTAGCCTGGTGGTACTGCTGTCTGCCTCACAATCGCAGGGTCCTCAGTTTGATCCCTGGTACCAGAAAACCGCCACATGCTTATAGGAGTTTGAATCTCAGACCAAGTTATCTTATGGCATATCAGTCATATAGAAATCTTAGATGATAAGCCTTTCAGGGGACTAAATTGAAACACTTATGTCCACTACTGGTACCTATCCCAACTTCTCCAGGCCAAGGATTGTACAATCTAAGCTTCTTAGGAAATAAGATGTCAAGTGACCCATGTGACACTTTATCTTAGTTATAATTACTTTATTATCTTTTTTGTCTCTCAACAGTTAGATAATCATTTCTAATATTTCCAGGACAGCACATCATTTTTATTTTGAAAACCATTCAGCACATTTGTCTTACATAATGTGTAAAACATACATTTAGATTTTAAAATTTCTCCAATTATTCATTGTTCTTAATTACCCAAGTTAGTCCATATACACTTAAAAATACAAGAAACATCTAAAAATTCTACTTTGTACATTCTTTCATTAAATAGTATTTACAGACACATTTTCAGACATATTTAGCTTTCTGTAGGTATTTGGAATTCTTTGTATATAATCACTGAAGAGTGTGGGTCCTCGGGAGGATGGTAGTAGAAGTCTATGAAGTAAAGATTGTTCTTAAAAGAACAGATGCAAACAGTTCCCCTGATTATACACCTTTTAGTTACTTGAGAGTCAAAGAACTCTGATAAATCCAGAAGTAAAAGATTCCTTAAGAACCCTTAGAAAATAGGAAAGGTGAGGAAAGTGTCAGTATCAGTGCTAGGATTTGGCACATTTGCTGAGAATGTATCACTTTGGCAAAGCTTACAGTAGAGTGCCAGGGAAGAGTTAATACTAGTTATTAGTGCTATTACTATTAGTAATAGAACTAGTAACACTATTACCAGAGATATTATTAGGTCAAGTGATGACGCATCCACATTCCCACAAGAGTACTAACAGCTAATTTGGTGAGTGGTCACCTTTTAGAAGAACTACAAATTAGGGCCACTGAGGGTTTGACATAGACTCTGTAGGGAAGTAATGGGACAGGCAGCCTCACTGATCCATCCTTATCAGCACTGCAATGATTTTACTTCTCTCAGGTTTTAAGATCTTTTAGACCTGTAAGAAGAGAAAAGGCATATAGAAGCATGATACTCAGACTCTAGCTTCATTTTGGGTTTTGCTTAACATACTGAGTTCATAGACAGCCCAAAAAGTTTCAGGTAAAGAGTTTGGTGAGGTTCCTGCTGCTACAAGAAGTCATTGTGGATTATAGGGGCTCCTTGTTTTTAGGACAGAAAGGGCTTGGGAGAAATTTGGCAGTTTTTCTTGGACAGTTATAGCTTGCCTTAAGATTGAAGAAATCTAATAATATTAGTATATGATCATAATATGATCATATGGTTAACTTCTAGACAGGTAATCAGGGTAACTTTAGGTACCACACAAAATGACACCTCAGTATATATGTAAATGAGGTAGGAAAGGGCATGGTGGCAACCTTTAAGCCAGTGATCTTACAGCAAAGCCATATTTCAAACTTCACAAGATTGCCATTTCCTGAAAAGCCCTTCTGCAAACAACAGCAAACTTACCTTTCTTTTCTAACTGCTTTCAATAAATTCTTGATGGCCTTAGATTCTGGATTCAGACATCTCTTCTCCCTGTTCTTTTTCATTGTGGCACTATGGAAGTAAATTGAAGTAAAAATATTTAAAACAGTGGTGGGCCAGCAAAACAGATGGAATATATAGTTCTAAAGTCAGACATTTTAAGTTTTACTTTCTCCATTTTCTTTTGGTATACATTACTTTTTATGTCATCACAAACCCTTCAACTGATCTTTTATGATTATCATCACATGTTTAATATGTTATTATAACCAGGGAAGTGATCATTAAATGAGATTTTACTCACATGATCTCAACACGTGGACAAGATTGACTTGCAGGGATAATTTCAAGTTTCTTTAAGAACCTTGGATTAACAGATTGAGTACTAGTCTCAATGCAGGTACAGCGTATAGTTCTGGAAAGAGGTATTCCTGCAGGAAAGGAAACAGGGAAAGTTAAGACAGAATTTCATTTTAGGCATTAGATGTGGATTAGGTAGTATTTAGTAGAACCAATATCCTTATATTGTCATATAGTCACTTAATCTGAGGAGGAATGTATCCTATTATAACACAGTTCTGGGTGATTAAATAGTCAATTTGTGGAAGAAGGGAATTACAACTTGTAATCAATTAAGTTAACTTAGGTAAGAAAGTATCTGTGTCGTAGCTTCTTTTATTCCTTTACATTTTTCTCCATTTTTCCTTGTTTCTCTCTTCTTTCCCTCATCTTTCCCTCTTGCATTTATTCTGCTTGTTTTTCTAACTTTATTTGTATTAGCAGAAGGAATCTCTGATCATTTACCTGTTTATAGGCACACAATGAAACTTGCAAATATATTATCAGTATTTTTAGAATTTATATCCAGTCCTGATTTCTGATTTTATAAGTTAAATATCCTTTGATGTTCCTTACCTTGAATCCCACTCAAGGTCAGAAAGATGAGGCAGAAAATAAGAATGGTGTGGCTCATGGTGCTGAGATTGGAGATTCCCCTATGGTAGACTCAGAATGTGTCTCAGCAGTTGAGAAGTGTCTTAGAAAATGTGGGGCTAGAATGCAGCATTTATATGTAAAAGTACTTTCCCTCCCTATCTCGGATTGGATAATGTGACAGTCAACTCAGCAAAATCTGCTGGCTATTCTTTGGGGCAGTCCCGTGTTGCAAAATCAAATGTATTATTTGTATTTATTGTGACTTCCAAGTTAGGAATTTCCCTCTCCTCCCTTTTTTTCAATGAGAGTGAGTTGAGTTTCACTTTCTGAAATGTGAACTTTTTCTTGAAAATCAGAACTTTATTATATGCATAATAATTTGTAAATGGAACTTTAATTCTTATGTTTCACTTCCTGTAAAATATTAAGTTAATCTTTGTCAGACTCCTAACAGTTTTTAAATAGTACATCCTAATGTTGTGCTTTGCATCCATCTTACTTGCAGCAGTAAAGCATGATTAGAAATATATTATTTACTGGGTTGGGGATTTAGCTCAGTGGTTCTGCCATCTGCCTCGCAAGCACAAGGTCCAGAGTTGGATGCCTGGTACCAAAAAAAAAAAAAGAAAGATAGATTATAGTTGGGTTATACTTTGTGATTTTCCCCCTACAATAACCCTATGAAGAAAGTAGTAATTATTTTCATTTCATAGATCTATGAGGTTTGATGGTTATATTAGGCTGCCATTCATATATATA